ACAAAACTATCTTAGTTCTCAAATCCCACAGGGTTAGCAGTTTGCAACGTGAATGGTTCACAGGCAAATAGAATTCAAGCATTTGGGAACAAACGCTGCCCGATAAAGTGTTATACCACGAAAGACACACAGCACAAGTTGATATATGTTATCCGATACCTTGGAAAGTGCAGCGCTGACACAAAGTTGAGAGTCACATGTTGACGTAGGCAGCGCGTGTCACTTTCCCCGTGAAAAAAACCTTTATATGTTCGATATAATGAATGGTTGGTTGGAACCGGTAATTAGAAATGCTTGGACTATGTACACAAATCTGGAGAATAACTACAATCTTGGGCGTTGTGTCTGGCGGATTGACTGCAAACTGAGAATTGAGACATGTTGTTTAAATCACGGGAGTTGCTGGAAAGTTTGTCCCAGTACCCAAAAATCGAGCCAAGTATTGGCTATAAATGAACCCTGGAACATAGTTTTCAGTAAGATAGCAGTACTGCTTTCTTTGTGAGATACATACTAATAACCACATCGATTTTTTCAAAATGCATTCCTGAAATGCTTGTATCACATGTGATAATTTTTTATTTGGAATATTTGTCATTTTTTTTACTCAAATTGTGCTCACCCAATCCTCGTTCGGAAAGTTTTTCCGATGAGCTCTCGACCAAGTACAGATCAATAGCATTCGGTTCCACTCCTATCAGAGCACCGAGGAGTGCCAAGGTTCGAACAGCCCTCGGCTGGCATGAAAATCGTGCCACTTAATATGAATACATGATGTGTTCTTGGATTTAATAACTGGCTTACCTTGGTTTCATGTACCCCATAGATAAGGTGATGAACCTCAATCTGAAGATGTCCCAGGCTAAAAATATATTTCATGCAAAATGTCGATAATCTGTTCACCAAATTGCTTGAACAAGAAATTTATTTTTTAAAAACTTGATGGGGTAGCAGCAAACTTTGCTTGTATCATTTGACTGTTTGGGCCTCGATTGAGAGTACACGAGAATTCGACCTACGATGCATTATGAAACAGATTGTCTCCGATGGTTGTCCTCTCCGCTCCGGAGTTAAGTGTGCGTCTGCCAACCCGGTTAATTATATCGTCGTTGTTTGACTTTATAATTATGTTGGAAACTGTGGTCACTAACTATAAGGTGGATTTTAGGCCTCCCATTGATTGGTAAGGGCTCCTCACAGGTGGTATGGTCGTTCCAAAATCAATGTACTACTTTTTTGGAAAATCGCTGGAACTATTGCGAATGCTTCCCAACACTATTGTTCCATAAAAAAGATCAGTATTCTTCAAATGAATTCAGCCCTTGTTCTAACTAAAGTCTAATTTTGAATCGAATTTGGAAGTAAAACTGCTTAGGTTACGTCTCTTGCGTCAATGGCAATTTTATGTGTGACTGTTCATTTGCACTGATCCAGATTTTTAAGACTCTTCTACTGAAATTTACATTCATAAGTTGAGAGAGATTTCGCACACCGACATTGGTGTAGCAATAGCTTGCATAAACATTCGTACATTGCCCTGAAGAGTAGTTTTTTGGTTAGAGAATTTCTTGACATTTTGCATGGCTAAATCCTGTCGAGGTGATTTAAAACTTCCAGAAAGGTGGTCAGAAAAGGATGGCCGTAGACCTGTGCCTGGAATGCGTCCCGTAATTCCTGCCAGGTGCATCAGACGTACGTGGAGATGCGTCTGCGTTGGGAGGCTCACCTGTCCGCTTGTCTGCGTCGGAAATTAGGACCCACCAGTTTGACATGCTGCTGGCTGGTCCCTCCCGTTCACTCGAGATTCTTATTCATTTGGGTTCGCTCCATGCAGATGAATATACGTGCAGCTCAGCTCACCCCTTATGGTATCCGATTATCTTACATCTTTCGAATCAGGATGTGGTTTAAATGCCACAGGAGCAGCTATCGCTCCTGAACAAAATGCTGGTACGAATTCGCTTTCCCTCTGGACTTTCAGCGATCGGTTAGCCGGAGTGCTATCTGGAGAGCAGTTTACCAATAGACGTACTAAGTAGAGGTCAGACGAAGGTATTGAAAAGTTCTTGGCACTGTGTTCGCTAAAGTGTATACAAGTAGTAGGTGGCTCTAAATTCTATCTTTTTAACAAAAAAATAAACCAGAAACTGCAAGTGAGCTCAATAGATTCACAACGATACCTGCGTCCTAATCGACCTGTTTTTGAGCTGTGATTGCAAAAATTACCCCCTCCCCCTCTTGAAGGTGTGTTGTGACACCGACAGTAAATTGTACAAAACCTTGATCCTTATAGTAATTTGGGAGTTCCCACTGACAAGCCTACGCTCACTGGACAGTCTGTCATTCGTATCTGATCAACCAGTGGATCTTATCAAAAAATATTATTGTGGGGGTGTCTCACGCTTGAGCCTCTTAGAAGAACCAGCTCCAAACGTGACGGGACTACATAACTGCCAATGGAATAACCGTTTTTCTTTGAGACAGATTCCAGTGGTTGTTCTTCACTCGCCCTTGACAGATGAGTCGTATTCTTAGTATCACTTTTGACCGCTTGTACGCGACATTGATCAATGGAGCAGATGGCTCACACTTTTTCTGGTTCGGCCAAGCGTACCAGGCGATTAAGCGGCTATTCAGACCGGGGTTCACGGTGATGAAAAGACATTTTGGAGACTGTGGTCCAAAACAGAGCCGCAAAACGTCCTTTTTGGAAGTGTTATTTTTAACTGTCCTGTGAGTTGGGCATAACTGGTGCGACAATATCTACTCTTGGTCTGGCATAACTCGACGGTGAACGTAATGTAGACTACCATCGAGCAGGAACGGGTTAAGTCACGATATGTTTGCTGACAAAACTCGAGACGTCTCCCGTGTTACATAAATCGTCTGGGCTTTCACTTATCCCTGGTCACTGAAATGACATTATTGATTTCCAGAGAACCAAAGCATATTCGTTGACGTGTTGGTAATGTCTTGGAATATTGGTAGCTCGGGTGTATTGGTTGGTAATTGATCAGGTGGCTGTTGATCTGTTCGCCAAGCTAGGCAATTGATTTGCAAATGTTTCGTCACCATTCGAGGAGACATCTTCACTGCGCAGACCCAACCAACAACGCACTGAAGATATCTTCTCGAATGGTGACGGAGCGTTTACAAATCAATTGCCAAGCTCGGCGAACAGATCAACATCCACCTGATCAATTACCAATCGTTGACATGTGTATATTTTAAACTTGGAGCAGCCAAATGTAATTTTCACCGTTGTAGGGAGGTACAACAGGAAGCAAATGGGCACGATTGTGGTCATTCCTACTGAATTCCGGAGGTGATTTCTTCCCAAACTAGTGCGTACGTTCTTGTCGATGCTTACAGTAAGAATCTCTCCATCTCGAACAGACTGGTGGAGAGTGAATCAAAAGTCAACTTATCTCGGCTGACGCCCGTCTTCGCCATACGACTCCATAGGAGACTAGCTGCAACAGAGGATCCCCGAATAAGGCCTCAGCAGTTATTTGAAACTGTCTACGTTTTTCATTTTCCAGTACTTCCCTCGCCAATTTTGGGTGACTGGAAGAGGAAACTGCCATTGGGTTGACTTGTTTAATCAACCTGCAGGTTCATGAAGTCGTAGTTGAGGATTTTAAGTCACACAGTGAGAACGAAATCAGATTACAGGGGTCATAATTTACCATCAGCGCTTTCACCAGTTATCTTCAGAGGTCACCCTCTGAATGGAGCATCTACCAGCCATGTAGACCAGAATGGTCGACCCCATCAAACCACCTGTTAAAGTGAGAAAAAAATTGTCAAAGTGTGTTCGTCGGAATAGTTTCGTGTAGCAACACAGAATGGTTGATGGAAACAAACGAAACTCAACGAAAACTCCTTCCTAAACGTTGTTTCTGAAATGCGGATAAAGATTAACAACAGAAACTATTCAACACAGGAAAATGTGATCGCTTCTCTACCTCTCATAAGTAGGCATATCATCCGGTGTCATCTTGCAAACTGTCCTGTCATTTTTCGTCTGGGTTCACATTAAATAAGGTAAATCTGGCAAGTAATCGAAATAAGAATAAGAATTCATTCAACCCAGAAGGGGTGAAACAAGCGATGCACAAACTGGATGGGTACTAAAACACAAAGGTGACTTTGGGACATGTGCGGTGTGCTGTATGGGTGACCAGTACAACAGAGGTTAGGGCGGCGTGTACCGGAGATAAAGACCACTTGGGTGATTCATCCAGTTTAAATAAACGTGTTTGGTGGATAGCCGGAGTGATCTGTTACAAGGCTGCGATGAGTTAGTTAGGGAAAAGTACGAACATAAATTCTGTGAATGACTTACTGGTCAGACAGAGCATAGTTGCGGTGAAACACGAATGAGACACAGAGGTCAATAAACTGCCATGATGTCGGAGCCTAGACAGGAGTACGGTCGGATTCGGATGGCGGAGCGTCGAGGCGATGGTTTGGCGCTTAGCATTTGAGCTATCTTCAATCAAAGCACGGTGTGCTTCTGTGATCTGTGACGATTCATAGTCACTCGTCGCCTTAGTGTGTGACAGTACAGAAGGTATTGGAATGTAAAACATACAGATTAGTTCATTTGACAGCATTCAGTACAAGGGAATGAATCCTCACAACCGTGTGTAAACGGATTTTACCCCTCATGCGTAAATCCGGGGATGATATTCATTCTGATGTATTTTCGGTTTCCCTATCGAAAAATGGTCACCTTAATTTATGTACAGAGAGACTAGGCTGTATCAGTCTTAACTGTGGCGCTTGAACACGATCTATGCCGGTTTGTATTGGTGCTGGTAAAGACATACTCGTTCTGCATGTGTGTACGGTTTTAATGAAACCTTTAGCCGATGCAATCTGAGGGGGTAATCATACAAAATCTGACACGGCAGACATCTTGATCGCCGCCTCCACACTGTTTTTTAGTACCGGAAGGACCGACAAACGCTTCACTGCCAATCAGCACGTCCACGATGGACCCATTCTGGTACGTTCCTCCCGATCAATATGCCGGCCTAATCTGGACAAACACCTCTATACCCGAGAATGGCCAAGAGAAATTGGAAAACGCGAATGAAAGGCTATTCTTCTGGATGGCAGTCGCTGTCTATTCGACTTGTGTGAATGTGGTTATATCCTTGCTCTGTCACTTGTCCAAACGCCTGGTCATGCCAAAACCGACAAAAACGGCCACTCAAGGTAAGTCTGTACCACCGTGCTTCATCAAAAGGAATTTGCAACAGTAGGACACATTACAAGTGATCAGTGTGAGCCGTCTTCCGTCCTCATAAAACTGTTTGACAAGTGCTTATGTGCCCTGAAGTTCTGGAAGATTATTCCAGTTCTCGTCAACTCTCAGAAGCCTGGCTTTTTTCCTCGTTTTGATAGATCGACAGCTGCATAACGATAGCCACAGCGACACTGCCAGGGATAACCACGCGTTCAATTACGTCGGCTGATTGAAGAGTGGATACAACTTAGAGTAAAAAGCAGGACACCCATAGGATTTGCAAGCACTGAATATAATTTTACAAGCCAGTTTCTTGGCTTATGTGGGATGTTTTAGCTTTGTGGTTTGGGGTCGGATTGAATTCACTAAAAATACTGCTTTAGAGACCCCCCGAGCTTTCGGTATCTGTTGATCGGCTCAGTTGTTGAGCAGGTTGGAGTATAACACGATAGGTTTTAGACTGCACCGGAAAAACAAAAATGATATTACCTATCAATCTCAAGTTTTGGTTTATTCACTGGGCTGGTTACTCCATTCTCCTTTCATTTTGGAACTCATATGTTCAGCTAATTCTTCCGAAGGTTGTCACCACTATGCGTTCGATTCTTGCAGCGCTTTTTGTTGGATCTGAAAATTTTGCTAAGACGACTGCTAATGTCATATCGCCTCAAAGCCTCTAGCAGCAAATGTGATGTTCCATTGGAAAAAATATCAAAACACTGAAAAATTGTGTTCAGTGTGTTTGTGAAGGAGGGTGATTAACATGAAACATCATCCCCTCAGGATTGACAGCGAATGTCTGACACGCGGACAGCGCTTTGATGCGTCTCCAAATGTGTCAGCAGCGTTTGGGGCAAAACACGATAATTCGTTTTACGTGAGTATGAAGTGGACACATTTCTGAGTGGCCAGTCCCAGTTAGCGCAAAATAATACTAGTGTGATGGTGGACACTACTGATGAGGCCTGCGAGTAATATGTGGGTTTTTCGTAAATCCGCATAAAGTGGGTCACGGAGAGGTTGGCTCAAGGCTAGAAAAATTGGCAAAGATCGAGGATTGTGCGGTTCCCAATTCAAAGCGGTCTCTATGACAGTTTCTTAGACAAAGAGCATACTACAGCCGGTTTGTTTAGGATTTCAACACGATTTATGCTCCACTGTGCGTCTGAAATTCGAATGAACCAGGGAAGCACAAGAGGATTTCGAGCGTGTCAAATCGCAGATGCTGGATCAACAACTGCCCAAGGTCAGAGGGATGTTCACTGTTGCAGGAAATAATACTAGTATTCTCGACAAGTATCTCTCGCTGAATAGATAAGTAAGCATACAAAATCCACACGTTTAGACCAAACGGCTTACTGGATTTGTTCTCACAGAATTATCACAGTATAGTAACGCAAGTATGATGTGATGTAAATATAGTTTTGGAAAAAAATCGTGCGTGTGAATGAACTATCAAGGTGGTAATACAAAAAATAAGACGATTTTTTGGTAATAAATCAGTTAAATTAGTCACTGAATGGCTGAGCTCGTTTTTGGCATTTGTTGGTTGGTTGGTTTCTTTTATTCTAAACAATTTCTGTTTCAAACTTTTCAGTGAGACTGGACCAGTCTGATTCCGGAGTAAGAAGGACATATTATCGTATCCCTGTTTTCAACTGGATAATGTCCAAGGCTGTCTCACGAGATTCTGGAAAGTCCTCCTGGCGGTGCACGGTCCGAACTGACTGCTGCGTATACCAGGCAATTTATACTTGTGGTGCATGCCATTTGAAACGTCCTCAATCGCAGAGTAGTTTAGACTACGTGATACGCACGTTCGACCCTCGAGGTGCCAAGGCTTTGGAGTTCACTGGTCCCCGTAAGTTGGACAGCACTGAGGCAACAAATGGCAAAAGAGAATTAGAGTTAGACCAACCAGCATCATCCCTACTACAAGTTCCAAATCTCCCCGCGAACCGTGTAATGACAAAACGCCAAAACGTACCCATTCTTCCAAGAGTCGCTTTATTTTTTGTTCATCTCCTCGCCGTTCTGGACATTATCCAAGTGATTTGTGACTACATTTTCCCGTTTATATTACGCTCTCCACAAGTCGAGAATATGATTCCGTCCAGGATGCGATATCACCTGGATTGCCACTTGCGCATTATGATTAGTATGCCTACCAGATTTGTTGTGGAGTGGACACTGGTGGTTTACGGAGTCGAACGACTCATTACGACCATTCGTCGGAAACCTCTGTTTCGTGCGTACCCGAAGCGAGTCACGGATCATGCGGAATTCAATGCGTTGAAAGTCAAGATCGGAATGGGTTTGTTCATCGTGATCATGTTTGCCGCATGCAGCAACTATTTCATTATTGTGGGTCAGCCAACTGCACTAATCGATGCTACGGGTAGAAAATACAGACGCCTAATTGTTTCTTGTAACATTCGGAAGGAGTTCCAACAGTTGAATACGCGGGTTTTGAATTATGTGAAAGTGTTTCTGTTTGCCTGTATACCTCAGTTGATCACCTTAGTTTGCCTCACTTCAATTGCCTTTATTTGGTCCCTTCATCGAATATTTTCTCAGACAGCCCGCGCTGTTCCACAAACGAATGTGTGTGAGTTCGACTCATCCAACTATCTGTTCGCATCAAACATGTGCACAGCCATGTTTTACGTACACGGTCTTCTGCGACTCGGTTTCCAAAGCTTGACGAATTTGAAAAGCATTAGTGAAACGATTATGAAACAGTCTCCGGGACATGAGATCCTCATGTGGGAGCCCAAATTGGCCATGATGCGCATTGCATTCACGCCCACGATCATTTCCGTTCTACTGGCATTTCTTCTGTTGGAACGCAGAAAAGGACTGCGTGATACAACGTGTTCAACAGTCAAACTGGTTTCATCTCCTTTGCCTTCCGATGTATGCTCTATGGATGACAACCCCTCGCACTGTAAATGATGTCCTATCGCGTATTTTGTGCAAAACAGATGAGATGTTCCACAGATCTTAGCTGGTTTTATCACATTTGCGTGTTGAAGAACTTGCTACGCACCATTTTACAACAGATCCCCGGGAATGAGGACTGACAACAGTTGATCAAGTTCTTCTTCGTAGTAGCGCCCGTCAGTATAAATCGGCCGACCAGAATGATTACATTTCGTCACCAATTGAATTACAGTCTGCAACCTTCTGGAGGATAAAATGCTAGTTATATAGGTTTGATACATCATCATCATCATTGTCAGCTGTAATAACCGCGTACAGTGGTTGTAGCTGCCGCAATTTCGTTCATTGATGATTTGGTTGGGGGGGGGTGGTAGGTAGCTGCGCATTGGATGCGGGAGCTGATAAATTAGTGCATAAATCCAGCACTGTCAGTGGGCGTGACTGGGCCATGTCTGAATCGCCTTGATGCACACACATCTGGAAGCATTCTCGACTGCTGAAGCACTGTGAAGTTGTCGAGGCCTAGACACAAGCCCTCAAGTCAGAGATCGGTAATCGATCGGTCAATCGATCGTCACAACCAGGACAGTTACTGGGTCGTCGTTCGATTAGTCGGGCACACCAATCGCATCGCTCAAGTGTGAAGACGTTCGCCTGTTCAGACGTGATAATTCAGATGCGTCCAACGTGCGTTGGTGGAGTAGTGGTTACACGCTCGCCACGCATGTCAGATGTCCGGGGTTCAGATCCCGGCACGGTCATTGGGTATGCACTGCTGATGAGCTCTAATAAGAGCGAAACTCGAGTCCAGTGCTTCCCTTTGCTGTGGACTCACCGGAATAATTACGCCAGAACAGGAACACGGTCGTTCAAACGAGAGTTGTGTGACTATGAACAAAAAGAACGGAAATTGTGAGACCTAATCTGATGATATTTGTTCGCATCACGATCAGGTTTTGATATCAGACAGGCGTATACGAAAATGTAGAGTAGCATACCAAATAGCCTGTTTAACGAAACTTCATCTTGGAACAAAATATAGGAGTAGCGCATCTGTCTGCATGATGGCCCAGGTAGAAATGAGGCTCCAAAAGTGCGTGCATATTTAGCGAAATGCACTCGCTTGCAAAGAAATTCGATCTTGCGGGAGACACTCCTGGAACCCAGCTGAAGCGCTCGTTTTATGAGTAGTATATAGCGCGCATTCTTACTTCTGTCTTCAAATGGTTCCCTTCTAAAGTAACAATTTCAATGTTTGATCTAATATACTTAAAATAAACATGGATTAATTTACGAATTTCCTTTGAACACAAACCAATGATCTTGACGCTGGAACGGCTCCGTCAATACTGCGACGTACTATCTGGATCGGTTTAATTGTATTGTCAAAACGGTTTCAAACTGTCTGAGAAGACCACCATCATATTCCAATCATTTCCATTTGCAATAAGAACACAGATGGGGTGACGAACATGTTTTCGGCGAGGTCTTTTCAAGTCATACAATTGCAAAGGTTAAGAGAGCGGTATTTAACATATTTGAATGAGTATGGTGTAAATGGACGGGGAATCGAGTGAGATGACATTGGCTACCTATCAAAGAACAATTAGTTCAGGTTACCAATAGGATGACTTGAGCTAGTCAGCGGCAGGGTGCTGTAGTTGTATGGTCAGCACAAGTTTCATGGATGAGGGGAGATGAGTTGGATCATGGCAGCGGTCGGATTCGGATGGCGGAGCGTCGAGGCGATGGTTTGGCGCTTAGCATTTGAGCTATCTTCAATCAAAGCACGGTGTGCTTCTGTGATCTGTGACGATTCATAGTCACTCGTCGCCTTAGTGTGTGACAGTACAGAAGGTATTGGAATGTAAAACATACAGATTAGTTCATTTGACAGCATTCAGTACAAGGGAATGAATCCTCACAACCGTGTGTAAACGGATTTTACCCCTCATGCGTAAATCCGGGGATGATATTCATTCTGATGTATTTTCGGTTTCCCTATCGAAAAATGGTCACCTTAATTTATGTACAGAGAGACTAGGCTGTATCAGTCTTAACTGTGGCGCTTGAACACGATCTATGCCGGTTTGTATTGGTGCTGGTAAAGACATACTCGTTCTGCATGTGTGTACGGTTTTAATGAAACCTTTAGCCGATGCAATCTGAGGGGGTAATCATACAAAATCTGACACGGCAGACATCTTGATCGCCGCCTCCACACTGTTTTTTAGTACCGGAAGGACCGACAAACGCTTCACTGCCAATCAGCACGTCCACGATGGACCCATTCTGGTACGTTCCTCCCGATCAATATGCCGGCCTAATCTGGACAAACACCTCTATACCCGAGAATGGCCAAGAGAAATTGGAAAACGCGAATGAAAGGCTATTCTTCTGGATGGCAGTCGCTGTCTATTCGACTTGTGTGAATGTGGTTATATCCTTGCTCTGTCACTTGTCCAAACGCCTGGTCATGCCAAAACCGACAAAAACGGCCACTCAAGGTAAGTCTGTACCACCGTGCTTCATCAAAAGGAATTTGCAACAGTAGGACACATTACAAGTGATCAGTGTGAGCCGTCTTCCGTCCTCATAAAACTGTTTGACAAGTGCTTATGTGCCCTGAAGTTCTGGAAGATTATTCCAGTTCTCGTCAACTCTCAGAAGCCTGGCTTTTTTCCTCGTTTTGATAGATCGACAGCTGCATAACGATAGCCACAGCGACACTGCCAGGGATAACCACGCGTTCAATTACGTCGGCTGATTGAAGAGTGGATACAACTTAGAGTAAAAAGCAGGACACCCATAGGATTTGCAAGCACTGAATATAATTTTACAAGCCAGTTTCTTGGCTTATGTGGGATGTTTTAGCTTTGTGGTTTGGGGTCGGATTGAATTCACTAAAAATACTGCTTTAGAGACCCCCCGAGCTTTCGGTATCTGTTGATCGGCTCAGTTGTTGAGCAGGTTGGAGTATAACACGATAGGTTTTAGACTGCACCGGAAAAACAAAAATGATATTACCTATCAATCTCAAGTTTTGGTTTATTCACTGGGCTGGTTACTCCATTCTCCTTTCATTTTGGAACTCATATGTTCAGCTAATTCTTCCGAAGGTTGTCACCACTATGCGTTCGATTCTTGCAGCGCTTTTTGTTGGATCTGAAAATTTTGCTAAGACGACTGCTAATGTCATATCGCCTCAAAGCCTCTAGCAGCAAATGTGATGTTCCATTGGAAAAAATATCAAAACACTGAAAAATTGTGTTCAGTGTGTTTGTGAAGGAGGGTGATTAACATGAAACATCATCCCCTCAGGATTGACAGCGAATGTCTGACACGCGGACAGCGCTTTGATGCGTCTCCAAATGTGTCAGCAGCGTTTGGGGCAAAACACGATAATTCGTTTTACGTGAGTATGAAGTGGACACATTTCTGAGTGGCCAGTCCCAGTTAGCGCAAAATAATACTAGTGTGATGGTGGACACTACTGATGAGGCCTGCGAGTAATATGTGGGTTTTTCGTAAATCCGCATAAAGTGGGTCACGGAGAGGTTGGCTCAAGGCTAGAAAAATTGGCAAAGATCGAGGATTGTGCGGTTCCCAATTCAAAGCGGTCTCTATGACAGTTTCTTAGACAAAGAGCATACTACAGCCGGTTTGTTTAGGATTTCAACACGATTTATGCTCCACTGTGCGTCTGAAATTCGAATGAACCAGGGAAGCACAAGAGGATTTCGAGCGTGTCAAATCGCAGATGCTGGATCAACAACTGCCCAAGGTCAGAGGGATGTTCACTGTTGCAGGAAATAATACTAGTATTCTCGACAAGTATCTCTCGCTGAATAGATAAGTAAGCATACAAAATCCACACGTTTAGACCAAACGGCTTACTGGATTTGTTCTCACAGAATTATCACAGTATAGTAACGCAAGTATGATGTGATGTAAATATAGTTTTGGAAAAAAATCGTGCGTGTGAATGAACTATCAAGGTGGTAATACAAAAAATAAGACGATTTTTTGGTAATAAATCAGTTAAATTAGTCACTGAATGGCTGAGCTCGTTTTTGGCATTTGTTGGTTGGTTGGTTTCTTTTATTCTAAACAATTTCTGTTTCAAACTTTTCAGTGAGACTGGACCAGTCTGATTCCGGAGTAAGAAGGACATATTATCGTATCCCTGTTTTCAACTGGATAATGTCCAAGGCTGTCTCACGAGATTCTGGAAAGTCCTCCTGGCGGTGCACGGTCCGAACTGACTGCTGCGTATACCAGGCAATTTATACTTGTGGTGCATGCCATTTGAAACGTCCTCAATCGCAGAGTAGTTTAGACTACGTGATACGCACGTTCGACCCTCGAGGTGCCAAGGCTTTGGAGTTCACTGGTCCCCGTAAGTTGGACAGCACTGAGGCAACAAATGGCAAAAGAGAATTAGAGTTAGACCAACCAGCATCATCCCTACTACAAGTTCCAAATCTCCCCGCGAACCGTGTAATGACAAAACGCCAAAACGTACCCATTCTTCCAAGAGTCGCTTTATTTTTTGTTCATCTCCTCGCCGTTCTGGACATTATCCAAGTGATTTGTGACTACATTTTCCCGTTTATATTACGCTCTCCACAAGTCGAGAATATGATTCCGTCCAGGATGCGATATCACCTGGATTGCCACTTGCGCATTATGATTAGTATGCCTACCAGATTTGTTGTGGAGTGGACACTGGTGGTTTACGGAGTCGAACGACTCATTACGACCATTCGTCGGAAACCTCTGTTTCGTGCGTACCCGAAGCGAGTCACGGATCATGCGGAATTCAATGCGTTGAAAGTCAAGATCGGAATGGGTTTGTTCATCGTGATCATGTTTGCCGCATGCAGCAACTATTTCATTATTGTGGGTCAGCCAACTGCACTAATCGATGCTACGGGTAGAAAATACAGACGCCTAATTGTTTCTTGTAACATTCGGAAGGAGTTCCAACAGTTGAATACGCGGGTTTTGAATTATGTGAAAGTGTTTCTGTTTGCCTGTATACCTCAGTTGATCACCTTAGTTTGCCTCACTTCAATTGCCTTTATTTGGTCCCTTCATCGAATATTTTCTCAGACAGCCCGCGCTGTTCCACAAACGAATGTGTGTGAGTTCGACTCATCCAACTATCTGTTCGCATCAAACATGTGCACAGCCATGTTTTACGTACACGGTCTTCTGCGACTCGGTTTCCAAAGCTTGACGAATTTGAAAAGCATCAGTGAAACGATTATGAAACAGTCTCCGGGACATGAGATCCTCATGTGGGAGCCCAAATTGGCCATGATGCGCATTGCATTCACGCCCACGATCATTTCCGTTCTACTGGCATTTCTTCTGTTGGAACGCAGAAAAGGACTGCGTGATACAACGTGTTCAACAGTCAAACTGGTTTCATCTCCTTTGCCTTCCGATGTATGCTCTATGGATGACAACCCCTCGCACTGTAAATGATGTCCTATCGCGTATTTTGTGCAAAACAGATGAGATGTTCCACAGATCTTAGCTGGTTTTATCACATTTGCGTGTTGAAGAACTTGCTACGCACCATTTTACAACAGATCCCCGGGAATGAGGACTGACAACAGTTGATCAAGTTCTTCTTCGTAGTAGCGCCCGTCAGTATAAATCGGCCGACCAGAATGATTACATTTCGTCACCAATTGAATTACAGTCTGCAACCTTCTGGAGGATAAAATGCTAGTTATATAGGTTTGATACATCATCATCATCATTGTCAGCTGTAATAACCGCGTACAGTGGTTGTAGCTGCCGCAATTTCGTTCATTGATGATTTGGTTGGGGGGGGGTGGTAGGTAGCTGCGCATTGGATGCGGGAGCTGATAAATTAGTGCATAAATCCAGCACTGTCAGTGGGCGTGACTGGGCCATGTCTGAATCGCCTTGATGCACACACATCTGGAAGCATTCTCGACTGCTGAAGCACTGTGAAGTTGTCGAGGCCTAGACACAAGCCCTCAAGTCAGAGATCGGTAATCGATCGGTCAATCGATCGTCACAACCAGGACAGTTACTGGGTCGTCGTTCGATTAGTCGGGCACACCAATCGCATCGCTCAAGTGTGAAGACGTTCGCCTGTTCAGACGTGATAATTCAGATGCGTCCAACGTGCGTTGGTGGAGTAGTGGTTACACGCTCGCCACGCATGTCAGATGTCCGGGGTTCAGATCCCGGCACGGTCATTGGGTATGCACTGCTGATGAGCTCTAATAAGAGCGAAACTCGAGTCCAGTGCTTCCCTTTGCTGTGGACTCACCGGAATAATTACGCCAGAACAGGAACACGGTCGTTCAAACGAGAGTTGTGTGACTATGAACAAAAAGAACGGAAATTGTGAGACCTAATCTGATGATATTTGTTCGCATCACGATCAGGTTTTGATATCAGACAGGCGTATACGAAAATGTAGAGTAGCATACCAAATAGCCTGTTTAACGAAACTTCATCTTGGAACAAAATATAGGAGTAGCGCATCTGTCTGCATGATGGCCCAGGTAGAAATGAGGCTCCAAAAGTGCGTGCATATTTAGCGAAATGCACTCGCTTGCAAAGAAATTCGATCTTGCGGGAGACACTCCTGGAACCCAGCTGAAGCGCTCGTTTTATGAGTAGTATATAGCGCGCATTCTTACTTCTGTCTTCAAATGGTTCCCTTCTAAAGTAACAATTTCAATGTTTGATCTAATATACTTAAAAAAAACATGGATTGATTTACGAATTTCCTTTGAACACAAACCAATGATCTTGACGCTGGAACGGCTCCGTCAATACTGCGACGACTATCTGGAATCGGTTTAATTGTATTGTCAAAACGGTTTCAAACTGTCTGAGAAGACCACCATCATATTCCAATCATTTCCATTTGCAATAAGAACACAGATGGGGTGACGAACATGTTTTCGGCGAGGTCTTTTCAAGTCATACAATTGCAAAGGTTAAGAGAGCGGTATTTAACATATTTGAATGAGTATGGTGTAAATGGACGGGGAATCGAGTGAGATGACATTGGCTACCTATCAAAGAACAATTAGTTCAGGTTACCAATAGGATGACTTGAGCTAGTCAGCGGCAGGGTGCTGTAGTTGTATGGTCAGCACAAGTTTCATGGATGAGGGGAGATGAGTTGGATCATGGCAGGTACAACACATGAACAAAGCGTTTCTGCCGACAAAGGATCGGGTCGCGATGTCCTATGGCGATAGCTTCAGCCACTGCGATTGTGCGCTGCTGTACTGATCTGGGTTGATTAGCCGGCGCCTTGCAAACAACGCGGAAGCTTTAGCTGGGTATCACGTTGGGTGCAGTGTTAGCAAAATGTTGTACTACGGAGGTGGTTATCATCCGCCTAGTTCCAGAAGCTAGCCAGGGTGGATTGTGTTCCGAGTTGCCTAGTCGTGTGTCCTATGTATTCGGGTTTCAAACTGTCTGAGAAAACCACCATCAGCTTTCTGTTGAAATCCGACTCGGTATCTCCTTTGAATAAATTCACTTGCATTTACGTTGTGCCAACAATAGAGATTCAAGGGAGCTTCTTGTCTAGGATTCTATTCAAACAAATGTGTTACCCAAAGGCTGACCATAGTTTCAGTTGGCACAACATTTTTTCGTGACACAACTCACCACTCACAAGGTTATAGAAGCCTCACTAACGATTCCATCTGTTGGCCTGTTACTGAAACCTAGTCTAGTTTCTCCAAGAAAAACTCACTTTTCGAGAAATACACTCGTTTGTAAATCGATTTGGTATTCACAAGGGACTCAAATGAATCTCTCGTTTATGATATTCAACAACTGAATGTGCTGCACACAGGCTACCTCATGTTTCAGTTGGCACGATATTCGAGATATCGCAGTATATTTTCATAAAGGAAACTACTCACAAGATCGAAGAGTTTTCAGCAACCTTGTGAGTAGTTTCCTTTATGAAAAAAAATACTCACTTTATTCACCGCACAAACGAATGAGCAATTAGAATGAGAACTGGAACAACAGACATTCAGTGAAACAAAAGCACTTTCACTCCAAGCTAATGGCGATCTGGACATCTGAAAATGTATTTATAAACGGAAGTGTGTCACAGCAAGGTACGGAAGCAATGGTGGCGGTAGATTAATGATAAGGAGGAATTTTTTAGCTCACGATGTCTCGTGAATTAAGGAGTAAAGAGCGGGTTTGCGTCATGCGTGATTTGTGAGAACCATTCCGGAGGATTTAGATGTGGTTTTTGGTTAGCAAAGTGCTTTGGTTTTCCGTAGTTGGTTGATTTGATTATGAATACGTGGAGCCAAGCTACTACTGAAATGGGTGTCGTCTGAGAGCACTTAATTGAACTTTGGGTCTCGACTTACTGATTTTTCCTACCATTTTGTGTGAGATCACGCCCAGGAAAGGCCGGAAATAAGTACGAATCCTTCCGGTTCTGGGGGTAGTTAAAGTTAACGTCTTTTTCTATGGTGTTCACCCGACTGCGTCCACTTTTTCCCCCTGACTGATCCTCCAATTCGTTGTATTACAAACTACGAACGTAGGACTTATTTTACGGGTTCGCGCTGGTCACTACAAGATGCAACTCCCTCCACAGGGTCCAAGCGTTCGGTTGGATATTGAGAACGCTTGAGTAGACTAGAAGGGTCCCCCTACACTTCGTCGGTTTCCTGCATTCACCGTCTACTGGCGTCAAGTAATATCGTACCTTTTCGGTGGGTAACGATTTTATTTGTAAGACCGGTTGTAGTGAACAAGTTGCTAGGATCCATACCTTTGATAGTATTTTTTCTGACCCTTTATGACACTTTCAAGTTGTTTACAAGGCATATTCACAAGAGTAACTCCACATTTTCCTCTCTGATGAAAGAATCGACAGCAGGCGATTTTATAATGACCTACCTCAGTACCTTCGGAACGCACAGTACTGGTTCCTGTGTTCAAGCTGGAATGAATTGCAAACATTTTCGAGATATATGCTGCGCAGCGAATGACCCCACTGGACATACTGGTCTGCCACGCCTGTGGCTCACAGCAACCTTTTCGAAATATAATCAGATATTCGTAATGCACTGCTCATAAAGTTGCTAGAAATTCTTCGACAGCACACGACCGGTTTCGCACTTCTTGGGGCCCATCAGGTAGGCGCAGTCCCCGAGTTTCCGTCAACCTTATGATCTGCTTGAACCCAAATTGGACAGTTTTCGAGAAATACACTCATTTGCAAACTCATTTTGTTTTGCGAGAGACTGGAAACATCACAAAGGAGAGATTCAGCTGCGTTCCAGGTGAGTCTTCGGTTTGTTGAAGAGCGTGTGCATTCGGATCACTTTCCCAATAAAGCTGGAACAGCTTCGACGTAACGGGCGAACGGTATCTTCGAGCGACGCATAATACCAGAATCTCCGAGAAGGCAAAACAAAATTGGAACTGGGTTTCTATACGGTACTGCTATTATTGTAAGACAAATTCACAAATTATACAAACCTCGACAGTAGATACTCGTCCATAACAAATGGTTCACTTGGACTACAAAAGTACAAACCAGAGGAGCAAACAGGCTCCCACGTGAGACAGTCACACGTACACAAAGTCGGCCCCAAGTGGCCGGATGACCTCAACGCCAAATGAGTGAAGCGGTAAGGAGAAATAAACGCCAGTTCATATACATGCACTAATCACAAAAGTGGGGCCGGTTACAAATGGGGGCAGAATAAACGTGGGGAATTTCAAGTGTCAACGCAATGGATTATACATTCGAGTAGAAACTTGTAGCAAGCATCCATGTCAACTTATGATACTCAGTAAAATAGCTATATTGCTGCACATCATGCCAGACTAGGTTTTCCAGCAGAATTACCAAATTCACTCATATTACTCTGCACATTCGCCTTGATTTTGAAAGGACGGTGGACGGTGTTACTACAGGGGGATAAAAAAATAGTTGAGAATTATCCCAGAAACAGTTGCACGGCAACCATATGATGATGTTGGTCTTTACAAACGGTATATTAATCAACTTTCGGTTGTTTTGCCTGAAACTCCACGTTGATTTTGTTTACTTTGGACTTCGGAATATTATTCATCCCAGTTTATCGTCGTCTTATGAGGCTGAATTTCTAAATCGTCCATTACTTTGACATTTGAAATTCTCCACGTTTCTTCTGTTTCTATTTTTAACCCCCGCCCCACTTTTGCGTTTAGTGCTTGTGTATGAACTGGCGCTTGTTTGACCTAGAGGTCACGCAGCCATTTCGTGGCACGTATGACTGTCTCACGTGGAAGACTGTTTGTTCACTTGGTTCCTACTTTTATAGTCTAAGTGGACAATTTTTGTGGACGAGTGTCCACTGTCAACGTTTGCATGTTTTGTGAGGACAATATAATAGTCTTGAAAAACGCCCATATGCATTTAGCTACCACTCAAAATGGCTAACCCCAGATACAAC